CCAGGGGTGACATGCTCCTGGATCAGACCAGATCGCCTGATCCGGTAGAGATCTTGGCCAGTGGTTTGGTGATCCGGTAGCAACAGTGGATCATAGCTCCGCCCACCTGGCCAGGTGTCATTACTTCCTGGTTTTAACCAGGAAGTGATGTGTTTTTTAGTTTCTGCGCATGTGCAGAAGGTTTTGCGCATACACAAGTCTGCACACTTCTGTGATGCGTGCACGCAGGCGACCCATGTGCTTCCGAACTGGTAAGGAAGGTAAGTAGATTTCACCCCTGTCTCCTACCACCACCAACCCAACTCAAGCTTTTATCCCACTATGACTTGATAGTTATAGGCCAGTAGCCCTTACTTTTCAGAAAAATGAATAGAAAATGAATTACAGTGTGATATGCCCTGATTCTAACTTGTGTGTGGTTGCGGAGTGGTTTGGGACATGTCTTTGACTCTACAAGGCAATGATGAATTATAGACCAACTCAACACTGAATGAGGAATCAAAGGGAAAAGGGTAGAACTGAATGACTGCCATGCCTTTAAATTTAAAGGAACTATTCCTTTATGACAAATCAAAATAATAAGTCCCTAAGAATGGAATGAAAAATGTAGCAGAATGTCTTGAATGGCCATTATTCGTATTATTGAGAAATCAAGATGCTTTCTTAAACAATAACATTTAATTCCATGCAAAAACAGATTTTTAATGGATTGTTTTCTAATTCAGTTGTTCCTAATGTATGCAATTTTATTTCTTCCATTCCTTTCCTCCACATAGTAGAAATCGTTTTTAATCTAACACCTGCTTGACCTATTGTTTTAAATTTTGCAGTAGGTAAAGAATAATTATGTCTGTAAATACGATCCAATCTCATCCCTAAATAACAACCTTGTATGCTCCTTTCTTTTTTATCAGTATTTAAAGACAACAAACTACAATTCTCTTGCACCTATTTCTCTGAAATTAAGCCGCATTCATTGCTTTACAAATGGCTTCTATGTCTGTAAATTTCATTCCATGTTGTTGAAAAACAAACAAACAAACAGCTTATAGTCACTTGTGATTTTCCCATGTTATTCAATGAGAGGCATGATCACACTTTAGATTAGTCCTGAGTTAAAATAAGCACTCTTTGATGGAGAATGTTGTGGGGTGGGGAGATACAGTAAAAACATATTTGGCACACTGTACACTAGTTAGAAAGGAAGAAGAAAGAGGGGGGGGGGGGAGGAGGAGGAGGGGGAAATATAAACTGTATTCACATTTTCAATCTGTCATATTGTAGCTAGATTTCATTAAGAAAATTAAAAGCCCATTTTCTATGTAATATGTTCCTCCCAAATTAATGTCTTCATTACTAACATATGACAAAGGGGAAAAAACCTGTTTTCAGTTAACAACTTTCCTGTCCTTCTCATTGTATAGAATTGTCATTACAAACTATTTGATGATGAAGATTTCTTTGCCATCACATTTCTGTCACTTCTGTCTCTTTATACTTGGTATCAAAGACTTTTACTTGTGTTTTTCAGTGTATTCTGGTTTCTCAAGGCAGTTAGGATCAATGAAATTAATTCTGCAAAGTCCTTTCCCAGAAGAAATTAGATGGATGGGAATTTTTCCATTCTTCTACTTCTGAAGCCTGTTCACTTTGAGTTCAATAGGGTTAACTCTTGGGAAAGTGGGTGTAGAATTGCATTCTTTATTTTAATATGTAGCATTTTGCAAATAAAAGAGAAATCTGTTTCTTCATACCTAGTTCTTTAATTAACTATATTCAAGCCAGAGGAAAATTCTCAAATGAATTCAATTTTTCTGCTTGTGTTATTTCTTTTCCCCCCTTTTCTGTATAACATTCTTTCATGTATATTTTAATATCATTCTACAAGGATATGGACTATGAACTATGTGTTTTGTGGTGGTATGAGCATGATTTTACTAAAATATTGCTGTTGTTGATATGATCTTAGGTGCAGATGCCTTTCAGAGAACTAAATGTATTTTAATCCTGTTTCCAATCTATCTAATGGACTAAAGTAAATATGAACTTATTTACTCTATACCTAGTTAATAACATTGTGGGAACATAACTAATATAAACTAGATACCTGAGAAATGGAAGCCTAATAGCTTTTCTCAAAAACTAAGAGAAGATGGGATATAGGCACACTTTCTAAGAAGAGGCCCTTACTATTGGCATGTTTTGTACACCAGGTTTTTAGAGACCTGCAAATGGTCTAAGAAGATCTGTTATGTTATGCTGCTCTATCAGGTGCCTATGAATAGCTAGAAGACAGCTTGCAGAATCCTCAGACAGCAAAGAAATCTGGAAAATATAGTTCTTCCAATACATTTGTACAACAGTAGTTTGCAATATAGAACCACATGCAGAAGCCACAGTTATTTTTAACAATGAAAACATGGGGACATCACTGGTCCTCCCTAAAGGAAAGTAGGAGAAATACATTAGGGCTTACGTTCAAAGTAATTATTGAATCAAAGCCTCCACCAAATGAAGTGCCTTGGGATACCTCCATAGTATTACTCGCTAATCATACAGAAAAATCTTGCTTTGAAACAAAGCAGTGTGGAAAGAAAAATGGATTAGTTCTGAAGCTTTTCTTAAACTTCTCTTTTGGTTTGGTTCAGGGGACATTGCATGGGACAAAATGATGTTCAAATTGACAGTGAAAAGTCCTATACAGAAAAAAAAAGATCACATCGTAAGGATTGAGCAGTCTCAACCTTTCATGTGATAGAAGTTTATACTGTAGCTAGCAGAGTTTTGTGGGACATTTAAACATACATGTCCATAGACATTTTTAGAAAAGGAAAACTAATAGGTAGCCCATTTTATCCTCCTTTACTTAAGGCCTTTCTGCTCCTGTTGTTAGTTTGATTCAGTAGTGGGTTCGTAACTGTGAGCGTGTGGGTACACAGAACCTTCTGCGTATGCGCAGAGCGTCCATGATGATGTCTGGGCAGGTGAGCGGAGCCTCCCGCTGCTGCCACTACCGGTTTGTGTGAACCAGGGCGAACCGGTAGAAACCCACCACTGGTTTGATTGTTGTACATCGTTTTGTGGTTGTGCAGGAGCTAAAGACAACATATGTTACATATGTTGCATAGGTAGGTCAAACTGTGATCAAGTGTCTGATCCAAAGTTACCTAGAGAAGTTTTGTGGCTGGGGCAAACTAGCACCTGGTGCCACTAAAACACCTGTATATCATTGTACCACCCTGTATTTGCCCTTCCAAAAGAAATCTAACTTCAATAGGAGAAATGGTAAAAAGTACAATATCCATAAAATATATAAGTCTAGCAATAAATCAGGAGAGTGCGAAATAATCACTCAGATCAGGTTTCTTTCTCATAATTGGAAAGGATGGCTTTTCAGATATATAGCTTTCAGATCAGCATGAGAATAGGATATAAACATAGTTCATATAACATTTCAGGGGTGAAATCCAGCAGGTTCTAACAGGGTTCTGGAGAACCCGTAGCGGAAATTTTGAGTAGTTCGGAGAACCAGAAAATACCACCTCTGGCTGGCTCCAGAGTGGGGTGGGAATGGAGATTTTGCAGTATCCTTCCCCTGGAGTCGGGTGGGAATGGAGAGGCCCCTTCCCCTGCCACGCCCACCAAGCCACACCCACAGAACCGGTAGGGAAACATTTTGGATTTCACCCCTGTAACATTTCCTCATGTTTCTAATATAACATATTTCAACTGCAGCCATTTTAGTGGTTTTGAAATAAACTGAACTTCCAGCACTGAACAACTGTAACCATCCCTGCAACTGCTCATGTTTGTGAAATGTTCCTGGACTACATGAAGCAATCCAGATAACAGAATAACAGTGTTGGAAGAGACCTTGGAAGTCTTCCAGTCCAATCCCCTTTTCAAGCAGGAACTCATATACCATTTCAAACAATTCTTTAAAATCTCTAGTGATGGAGCACCACAACCTCTGGAGACAAGCTGTTCCACTGGTTAATTGTTAGAAAAATTTCTCTTTATTTCTAGGTTGGATCTGTCCTTGATTAATTTCCATCCATTGATTTTTAGAGATACCGAGTTTTGTGTGATAGGATTCTTTATTACAGACGTAAGTACAGTGTGTCATCAAGATAACTGAGGAGCTATCTCACCCCAATGGGATAGCCTGCTCCACTTGCACCAGCAAAAGAGGCTGCTACGGACCACCTTATACCAGCAGAAAAGACCTTCTACAGAATTCCAGCAGACAAGGTCAAGAAGAGACTTTTCCACTGTGGCTCTGACCCTTTAAAATATTTTATCACCAGAGGGAAGGACTGCTTCCACCTCTTTGGCCTTCTGGAAAAGTATTAAAACTTGGTTTTTGCTGGCTGACTTGGGGGACCAACAGGGGTGCTTACTGCTGGAGGTGGCCGATGAGATAAGATCTCATTCCTGTACTGACCATCTCCTAGTTCCTGGGTTTTGTTTGGTTGCATAACTTTTAAATTTTTAATTTGCATAGTTTTAACATTTTAACTCCTTTTCTATTTATCCTTTTATGATTTGTAAGCCACCCAGAGTCATCTTATCAGGGAGCTAGGCAGCATATAAACTTAAAAAATAAATAAATGTTCCTACAAATAGCCTCCGTTCTACTGCCTTTCAATCAGTTGTGTCTGCTGGAAAGGGAGGAAAAGACCAAATTAATCAATTGACGTAAAGTGGATAGCACAGCAGTACAGCTAAGATTTTGGCAAGCAACAATAAGTATGCTATGGAGTTAAGTCACTCTCTGAATTTTGGTGGTGTTTGTAAACAGATGATAAAAGCTTTGGATATCTCCATGGGTATCAGGCTGTTCATGTGTGTAATTGTTTCATACATTTCTGTAATCCTTTATGGTTTGAGAAAATTGGGAATAATATTCTATATAGAGTTTTTTAAAAATAAAATAAAATAAACCTGGATCATTAGTTTGACAGCAGTAATCATTTGTTCACTAAATGCTTTTCCTGCAGTGATTATATGGAAATAGAAAGAGAGAAGCACTACATGAAGAAAAAAAGAAAGAGAAAGAGAAAGAGGAAGAGGAAGACAGGGAAGCTAAAGATGGATTACAAATGGCATGATTTATGTTTTACTGGAAAAAAAATCCTTTGCAAACTGAAAACAGAACAAGAGTACAGTTGTCCTTTGCATGTTTCCAAAAATCTCCCATGCCATCTTCCAAATAACAAAAAGAAAAAAAAAAGAAAAAAGAAAGAAAAGAAAAGAAAAAGTATGTAAAATGTATATTTTAAGGTAAAGTGTGTCCAAAAATGTGTACATAAAACTAAAGCTTGCGTAACATAGTAGATATAATGCAGAAAATACATTCTAGGAAAGGGGAATTCACAAAATTGCATACACACATATTGTATAAGGAAAAATATATACAAATTTTTAAATAGGGAAAGATGCACACATACAGTACACTAACACATACACATAATGTACGGACATACAGATACATGTATGTATCTGTACACAGTACACACAGTACATGTACATGTACATATGACTGTGGAAAAATGGCATTTAAAAATCATAAACTGTTTCTTAACAAGATTATAGAATTTTTCATCCAGAAAAATTGGTTCAAACCAAAGAACTAAGAGTCCAAGAGAAGGGATACCCCTTCCAAAGAACAGATGCAGTGACATTAGAATTAGACAATGGAAAGTACCTCCCACGCACATTTGCTTCCTGGGGGAAGGTCAAGGAAAATCACTCCAGATGAAGAAAACCATTTCAAAGGGTGGGGTTTGGAAAGAGAAAAAGATAAAGGAATCCATTTAGCCAGTGCTATTAACCCAACAAGACAAAGGCAGTGCCGGAATGAATCCCACCTCTCTTGCAGCACAATGAAAAAATGAAGACATTTTTTAAAAGTATGAGGTTTTCTTGGATTGCTCAGATCAAGAGGCTCTGCAGTAGTATTGATTGGCTCCAAGGCCATATTAGAGATGAAGGCAGGCCTCCAGAGGGAGAGGGTGGTCACCTTGACCTGGGGTCAAAGCCAGACTACTGACCCCTGACATCCAAAACTTCAAGCCCAAGATCTGTGAGAGCTTTCATGCTTGCAGTGTGTGTCAGCAGGAGGACAGGTGTCGATGTGGCACTTGCCAAACTGAAATTGACCGGCCTGCGGGAAGCTGGAATGCAGAGGGAAATGTGGGTTAAAGTATGTCAATAATGTTTCACAAGAACAATTTCTCCCAAGAATTGTAGCTGTTGGAATGTTTTGACATTTATTCGGTAGAGAAAATGTAGCCTGTTTTGCTAAGGCACTTCAAGAGAGCGGCTGCTAACTGCTGTGGCGTATTGATCTTCTGTTAAATTGCATGGGCACACTTGGGAGATCATTGAGATTCAGGGTAGAGGACAGAAAGGATCGGCTGCACCCGATGGTCACTAATGGTAATTGGTTTCGATCCTTGTACTTGACGAAGCCATGATTTACTTGGTTCACAGATGAATTGTAGTCACTAAATATTTTGAGAAGGAGGAGGGGAAAATTCTTTGATTTTTTTTTCCTTGTTATTTTACGAATTGTTGTCTCCCTTCTTGGGCTTACATAAAGAGGAGCGATCCAAGTTTCTGATGTTTGTAAAAGAGCATAACATGTAATTCTGTGAACTTTTCCTTTTGATCTCAATCTGGTGGAAAAAATAATCATGCTTTCTGTTTAGGCTGAAGTTGCAAAGCAGTTAAAGGGAGACAAGAAGTTTGGCTCAGATTCTGTTACAGAGGATTCCATCTGATGTCTATCCGCTGGCAAAAGGAATCAATCAGCAGAACAAGAGGGAAAGTAATTTGAAGCAATTCTTCTTCACATTCTTTTTCTTCCCTTCCTGGCACTTGCAGTTCCTTAACTTGTCCCCAAATCATTTTGCACCAAATTCAGGAGGATATGGAAGCTGATAAAAGACTGCATAATCAAAAATACCCTTCCCCCCTTCATGTCACTGATGGATACTTTCTGCGTGCAAAGTATCACCAATTGGATTAACCATCCAAGAAGTTCATGAAGCAACTAGGTAATGCTGATTCAAGCAAAGGTTATACTCAATTTTCTATGCATTATGGGATGAAGATGGGAGCATTAATGTTGGATGTAAGCATAGTCTCTCTCAAGACCTATACATTCAAGGTTACTCTGATGGAAATCCTATGGATTGCCCTTGTACTCACTATAAAATCTGTATCTTTAGCACTGTGACTGTAAAGAATAAAGCAATAAGCCTAAATTTATTATTATGAAATTAAACATAATTTAATTCAGTTGGATTTATTTTGTGCAGTTTAAGCGATCATACATTTATTTGGAAGTAAACTCCTTATAAGAATTTAGTTGTGTGTAAACATGCGTGGAATTGGATTATGCTACAGTATTATATATATGAGTGTGGATAAGTGTTAGTCGCCTGCTGTTCTCAGCTCCATTTTGCGGCTCCTAAAATCCCTCAAAATTACCCTGCTGCTTAAGCTCCTGGGGGAAAGTCAGGGTTAAAATATAACAAATAATATGCCTATTTGGGATGATGTGATTTTTACCATTTGTTAAAAACATGAGAAACTGAAAAAAGATACGCTGAGCTTTTGGTAGAATTACACACTTATTTAGAGTGTCTTAAAAAAAATAGAGCCAACAAAACCTTAAACCAAACCAAATCAAACCAAACTAAAACTTAAACTAAACAAAAAAGAGACTCTATTAGTTCAGCTCTACCTTCCACAGTATTATTGTGATTGTGGGAAGTAGAGATGAGCTGTCATAGCAATAAATACCTTGAATCAGAAAGTCTTAATACCTTCCCCAATATTTATAAGTCATTACTAGCATCTATCCCTGATACAAAACATTGTCTAACCACGAAGTAAGAATTATACTTGCCATATACTTATTCAATAAGTATATTATTGTAATTGGATGTTCCATAACAAGATTTACCAACTATATTTATTAAAATTTGCAATTCATTTTTTCCAGAAAGCAAATTTTTTTTACAGCAGAGCAGGTCCAAGAAACATAGTCAATCTACCGTGTCTACTAGACTATTTTTCCTGGGTTCTTTTCATCTTTGAGGTTTATGAACTTTTTAAACTTTCCAGCCCATGTTTCTCAACGTGCGTATTTTTCTCTTCAGATTTCTTTTTCTTTTATTTGCCTTGTATTTTAAACAGGTTGGATTTATTTGGAAATTGCTTCATCAACAAAAAAATATTCTCTTTTTTCAGTAAATAAGTACATAAACAACAGCTAAACATAGAGATACAATAAAAAGCTTGCATTAATACGGAGAAAGAAATATTTAGCAGGGAGAAAAATCAGCTGAATGGAGTCTTTTTAATAATATTTAACCAAGCTGGAATGTTCAGTTTTATTTTTGCCTAAGAAAAAAAGAAGGAAAAGAAAGCAGTTTCTATTATCGTGTACTCATTCAGGGAAACCAGTATTTTCACGTAGACCCCTGAATGCAATCCACATGCTTGCCTGACAAACAGCAAAGAATTGCCATTCATCATAATGTCTCCTAATGCATATTTGTTTGTCAGATCCGGTTCTGCTATTCTGTTTAGAATGCCAGCAAATAGACTGTGATTTCAAATTATAGTAAATCATGCATTATAGGATTTGAATCACTGAGAATGGTAATAGAGAAAATAATGGTGACTAAATGCTGTTGCACCCAGGTATAATAGCTGTAGGTGGCTTTTGAAAATGATTACTTGCACTCCAACTATCTGAAATATTTACAAATGTCAGGAAATGACAACCTGTAGAGAAACTCTAGAATACAGGAGGTATACAGTATGTAGCTCAAGGCAATCAGCAATGAGGTCAGAACTTGACTGTTTCTGTGCTTTATATGAAAAAGGAGTCTTTACATTTGGACCACAATAACAAACATAAGGCTGTGTATACACTGAGGAAAGAAGGACGTTTATTAAATAGGACCATGATTCAAGGGTTCACTACGGATGCTGAAAGAAATGGTTATAATCTTACTATACTTACCCCAGTGGTTTAACAACACTCCGAGCAATGAATTCAGTAAATAACAATCCAATGAAGTCTTTCAGATTATAAAGTTCATGGGATCCCCTTAAAGACCTGCTGTGGACTAGCCAAGCAATACTGCTACAGGCATCATAACTGACCCATTTCCCCTTTGTTTTTGTAGTTGGCAGTAGTTCCTGTTTTGTAAGAAGTAATGAATAAAAAAGTGTGAGGGAAAAAAAACTAGGCCTGGAAACATTCATTTCTGTTTCAGTGTTGTCTCTTGATTAGGAGTATTTGAATTGTTTTCTTCTCATTATTCCCCATAAGGACACTGATTGTGCTGCGCTGATAATGCTTTAAGTGGATCAACAATTTTCAGAATATATTTTTTTGTTTAAAAATGGATAAAATATGTTTATGTATTTGTTGAAAGCAATGTGCAGAAATGAATTAAATCTGTGTTTAAGACCACAGGACACTATGTAAAGAACTAAAATGAAATTAAGAGAATGAGGATCTAAAAGTTTGCTTCCTGTTATTCAAATGAATATTGTAAATGAGTGTTGGGCTGAATATTGTCAGTTTTAGACCTTTAACAGGATTTCAGGTAAGATAAAATTGTAAAAATAATTGATTTTGCTTCTATATCATTCCATTTCACTTTTGATGAACAAACTCTCCCTCCCTCCCTCCCTCCATTCACAGGACCATTAGATTTTGAATTTGACTAAGGGTGACATGATAGCAGTGTTTCAATATTTGAGGGACTGTCACGAAGAAGAGGGGGTCAACCTAATTTCCAAAGTACCAGAGAACAGGACAAAAAAAGCAATGGAGTGAAACTAACTAAGGATAGAAGGAACCTAGAACTAAAGAGAAATTTCCTGACAGTAAGAACAATCAATAAATGGAATGGCTTGCCTTCAGAAATTGTGGGTGCTCCATCTCTGGAGGCTTTTAAGAAGAGACTGGGCAGCCATTTGTCTAAAATGGTATAGGGCAGGGGTCTGCAACCTTAAAGACTCAAAGAGTCATTTGGACCCATTTCCCACAGAAAAGAAAATACCAAGAGCCACAAAACCTGGGTGGGCATGGCCAATACGACATCACTCACTCCCACCCTGTCACATGACCCCTAGCCACGCCTACCCAGCCAGTCATTAGGGCAGAGAACAGTTGTTAAAAAACACTGGGAACCACAAAACCCTTTTGACATCTCTCCCTCTCTCTCCCTCCCTCTCTCTGTATCCCTCTCTGTGTGTCTTTCTATGTCTCTCTCTCCCTCCTCTCTGTATCTGTGTGTGTGTGTGTGTGTGTGTGTCTCCTCCTCTTTCCCCCATCTCTCTGTATCTCTCTCTCTGCCCCCCATCTAAATTTCACCGTGCTGCGCAAGGCGCTGCAAATGTATGCGACGAAGGCACACAAAGGCAAGTGCAGGGATGCTTTGTTCCTGCACTAAGGCTCTGGCCATCGCCACCGCCATGACAGGATGACAGCTCTTTCATCCCTCTGCTGCGACAGGGCAACACGGAGCTGCAGCAGAGATATGAAAGAGCCACGTGCAGCTCTAGAGCCACGGCTTGCCGACTCCTGGTATAGAGTCTCCTGCTTGAGCAGGAGGTTGGACTAGAAGATCTCCAAGGTCCCTTCCATCTCTGTTTTCAGCATTCTTGTGAAATTTTCTAAGTTTACATTCAAAGGCAATAAATTTTGAATGAGCTGTACCAAAACTGTTAGTTCTAAATTCACCCAAACAAAAACAGCAAGTGAGAAGCAGAATGATATTATTGTTATTGTCAATATTTATTTTATTTTATTTCTATATTTTGCCTGCCTGCTCATAAGCTGAAAAGCAAGAAATTGTCTTGGAGTCTATTATTCCATAATGCAGACTGGACTACCAGCAACAGAAGCTCCTGCGGAAGGAATAGATTTTCTCCTTGCCTTCATCGTCCACACTTAGCCGCAAAAACTGGAGAACATTACCATGAAATAGGAAATGAGACTTATAAAAATATATCATTCAATGCCTACTATATTTTCACTCCAATTTATTTGGAAGGCAAAGGGAAAGCAACAACAACCAAAAAAACCACTAAGTACCTTAAATTATATGATTGAGATTGTAAAACATTGATTATCATTGCAGGATCATTCAGGTCTGATCAATGACAGTCTTTTGAAGCTGAAAAGTTGAAAAGGTTCTGAGGGTACAAATATTGTACAATCTGTCCTTACAGCATCCCCTGTTTCAGCCTTCAAGACTAATACAAAATAACAGCCCTTTACTGGTAGAAATGCATCAGGAGGATAATAATGACACTGAAGAGATTTTTTTTTCCTAAAGAAAAAGAATGAGAAGAAAAAAAAAATGAGCTTGAAAGAGAATGCAGTTCAAAGAAGGGGACCTGCTTATTCTGATGTTTCCCTCAGGTGCACATCCATTCATAATGGTAGGCCTTCCTGGAAGAAGTGTATTTTTGTGTGCGTATAATGTTTAGACAGCAGCTATCATTCTTTTTCAGCGAAACAGTTGAAATTCAAGTTGGAGCCTGATCTCGCTTTTAAATCTGTTTTAAAACAGTGGGGATCTACAAACTGGCTTAGCTAAGTCATTTCCTTTTCAACACCCTCTGGGTGAAATCCAGAGATAATATGTCATGTAGTTAAAGGGTAAATGCATAAAAAGACTTCTCACTGTCAATTCACATGACAGAATTTCCACATATATTCTGATCTCCAAGGTGATTTTGATGACTGGGTAATGTATGGAAATCTATTACATGGGTGGGAAACAAATTAAAAGTTGTTTAATATCAGATGGTCATATGGATGGAAGCACCATGAATAAAATCACAAGAACTGCTAACAAGAGAAGGTGCCTGTTAGAGTGGTTCATGTTCCTTCTTATACTTGTATTATTTATATCCTAGTAGCCTATCGAGATTTTTTTTTTTTACTGAACTCTATTAGCCAGTAGCAAAAAAAAAAAAAAGATAATGTCCACAAGGACAAATAACATTCTGTATGTAGAAACCATTCTGTATATAGAAAATGAACAATTTAAAAGATGTCCCTGACCATCTGTAATGGTGTGGAGGAAAAACCTTGGGAGATTGGGCAAAGAGTCACTGCCAACAAATGGTTGGATAAGAGACAGTGTAGCCCACAAATGGATAATGGGCAGAACAAAAGGCTTAGAAGAAATCTTCCTTAGTTTCTTGGGAAGTTTCCAGTTTCCAGTTGCCATTATTGATGCCATTATTAATGACTCATC